AAAACTGTGTTCCAAGTATAACGGTCTGCTTTCATTACCGTCATCATCACTATTCTGGCAAATCGCCCGATGATGCTCAATTTAATTATCAGCGAAACGTCGTCCTACTCAAATTGTAAATGTTGTGGGCTGAAGTAGTACACTACACTATACACTACATTACACACTGCACTATACTTTTGGCGCGTTGTTTATGTGACAAAACCCTTACTAATTGGCTGTGTCGGGTGGTGGAGGGTTACGAAGCACACATTTATACTGACGCGATCTAACCCAACAACCTTAATTTTGTTCGCCATCATGTCCCATTGTCTTCTCCACTGCTAGATGAACCCCATCCCCCGACCATCCGCAATGGCCACGCTCTACCCACTGCTGGATGAATACCTCCCTTCCGCGATGTCGTAATCCCTGCCGGCTCCTGGGATTCCACAATCCGTCGGCCTCGTCCAATCTCTCGCTCCATCTCCGCGCGGGGGGTTCGCCTCCGTCGGGTGTCGTTCCGTCTCTTTTTTTTTACGATCAGTGGAAACAAGAAGATGCTCGGTGTATTCGGTACTTTGCTTCGTTCATCATTTCGTAATTTTTTTTTACTTTGCTTTATGTAAAACCCCCACCTTTCACTCTCTCGCTCACTCTCTCGCTCGCTCACTCTCTCGCTGTCGCGCTCTCTCGTTCTGCACGCAGCCCTTCTCCAGTCTCGCTCGTCAGACATTATCGTCTTCGTCTTCAAGCACCCAGACCTCGTCTACGACTGTCGCAACCATCAACGGTCGCGCATCCGCGGCACCGTTTGTCCGAGCGCGATGCGGGAAGAGCCGTCGTTTTGTTTAAATCAGCTCACGACTCGTGGAAAGAGAAAAAGGGAGGGAGTGGAAGGAGTGGAGGGAGGGAGGTCACCTCGATGCATGGAGCTCACGACGAGAGGATAAAAATCACCCACCAGGCATGCGATGGGGATAAACTTCACCCACACAACCACCCCCGCCACCCCCACCACGACCTCCCTCGTCACCCCATCGCCATCCCCTCTCCTGTCTTCTGTTACCCTCCCCACTGCACCACTCACCCCATGCCGCGTCGCGCTCCCTTGCCAAACCCTTCCCTCCCTCCATCCCCCCTCGCCATCTCCCTCCGTCCGTGTCTCCCTCTCGCCCCTCCCTTCAAATCCCCAGTCGCACCCGCCCCCTCTCCCCCCTCCTCGTCTCTTCGTCCCCTCTCCCCCATTGCTCTCCTCCTCCTCCATCTCCTCCCTCTCTCCAATACTTCCCCCATTTCCCCTCTTATCTCTCATCCAACATCCATCTCCCCCCCCCCATTCCTTTCCTCCCTCTCCTCTCTCCCCCTCCCATCTCCCCCTCCCTCTCCCCCTCCCTCTCCACACCCCCTCCCTCTCCTCCCCCTCCCATCTCCCCCTCCCTCTCACCCCCTCCCTCTCACCCCCTCCCGCTCCCTCCCCCCTCAATCTCCCCCCACTCTTTCTCCTCCTCCTGCCCCTCTCTCTCTTCCCCCTCCCTCTCCCCCCTCTCCTCCTCCTGCCTCTCTCTCTTTTTCCCCCTCCTTCTCCCCCCCCTCCCGCCCCTCCCTGTCCCCCTCTCCCATCCGCGTGTCTCCCTCTCCCCGTCTCCTCTCTTATCACCCTCTCTCTCCATCCCCCCCTCCCTCTCCTCCCTCCCCCCTCGTTCTCCTCTCCTCCCCCTCCCTCTCCCCCTCCCCCCCCCACGCCCCCCCCCGAGTCTCTGAGCGTCGTCCGAGGCTGCGGTCTTGGGCTGCGAGGCGAGTGGCGCACGCGCGCAGCCGTTCACTCTCAGCCGTGGCCGTGAGCGAGCGAGTGGGAAGAGAGCGAGCGGGTGAGTCCGTGTGAGTGTGTGTTGATTGTGTGTTGAGTGTGTGTTTGTTGAGAGTGAGTGTTGAGAGTGAGTGTTGAGAGTGTGTGAGTGTGTGTGTGAGGGTGTGTGAGTGTGTGTTGAGAGTGAGTTGGTGAGTGTGTGTGAGTGAATGTGAGTGTTGAGAGTGGGTGGGTGAGTGTGGGCGAGTGAGTGTCGAGAGTGTGGGGGTGAGTGGGTGAGTGAGTGTGAGTGTTGAGAGTGGGTGAGAGCAATAGTGAGCGAGTGTGTGTTGGTGAGTTGTGTTGGGTGAGTGCGTGGGTGATTGTGTGGGTGAATGAGTGAGTGCGTGGGTGAGTGTGGGTGAATGAGTGAGTGCGTGGGTGAATGAGTGAGTGCGTGGGTGAATGAGTGTGTGTGTGATTGCGTGGGTGAATGAGTGAGTGCGTAGGTTATTGCGTGGGTGAATGAGTGAGTGCGTGAGTGAGTGTGGGTGAATGTGGGTGAGTGAGTGAGTGCGTGAGTGTGGGTGAATGTGGGTGAGTGAGTGAGTGAGTGCGTGAGTGAGTGTGAGTGAGTGTGAGTGGGTGAGTGTGAGTGAGTGCGTGGGTGAGTGTGGGTGAATGTGGGTGAGTGAGTGCGTGAGTGAGTGTGGGTGAGTGTGAGTGGGTGAGTGTGAGTGAGTGCGTGAGTGAGTGTGGGTGAGTGTGAGTGAGTGCGTGAGTGAGTGTGGGTGAGTGAGTGAGTGAGTGCGTGAGTGAGTGTGGGTGAGTGTGAGTGGGTGAGTGTGAGTGAGTGCGTGAGTGAGTGTGGGTGAGTGTGAGTGAGTGCGTGAGTGAGTGTGGGTGAGTGAGTGAGTGCGTGAGTGAGTGTGGGTGACTGTGAGTGGGTGAGTGTGAGTGGGTGAGTGTGAGTGTGCCACGTACGAGTCACAGGATCAGACGAGGATGACACACACACACAAATCTAACACGCATACATAGACATACACATAGACATACAGTTAGAGAGACACGCGTATTTATAGACACACAGACATATGTTTAGAGACATTCAGATAGGGAGACACATACAGACATAGAGAGACATACATTTACACATAGGTACATATATACATACGCACAGACACAAATAAATACGCACATAGATCGAATAAGAGACACGCACATTAACTCATAGACAAAGATCTCCCGTATAGCCTTAACAGACTGCAGGGGCAAGTGCTGTTCGCGAGCACCTATTGAGACGGGAACGAGGTGTCGGGGTTGGCCAACGCCACCCACGCCCGGCCGCCTTTGTCTCCCCGGTGCCGATTGTTTGCACACCTCACCGGGTGCTACCTATTTAGGGCTGAGTCGACCTAGGCGCACACACACATACACAACCCACTCGTATCGACTCGCATACGCGTGCCTATTTGTACGCACACACGCACGCACGCACACACGCACACACACGCACACACACGCGCGCACGCACACACACGCACACACACGCACACACACGCACGCGCACGCGCACACACACACGCGCACACACACACGCACACACACACACGCACACACGCACACACACGCACACGCACGCACGCGCACACACACGCACACGCACACACACACGCACACACACACGCACACACACACGCACGCGCACACACACACGCGCACACACACGCGCGCGCGCGGCCAAACCACGCACGCTCGCCCACCCCACTCCCATTACCCACTCTCATCAGCAGCAGCAGACGGATCCGCTGGACCCTGGGAGCTCTGTCCTGAGCGTCTGTTCGTGTGATTCCAGCAGCAGCAGCAGCAGCATCAGGATCACCATTGTCAGCAGCAGCAGCAACATCAGCAGCATCAACATCATCAGCAGCATCATCAGCAGCAGCATCAGCAGCAGCATCATCAGCAGCATCAGCAGCAGACGGCTCGCTGGACCACGAGAGCTCCGTCCGGAACGTCTTTTCGTGTGATTCCAGCAGCAGCAGGAGCAGCATCATCATCAGCAGCAGCATCATTATCATCATCATCAGCATCATCAGCAGCAGCAGACGTCTCGCTGGACTCCGGGAACTCTGTCCAGAGAGTGCGGCTGTTCGCTGATTCCAGCAGCATCATCATCATCAGCAGCAGTAACATCATCATCAGCAGCAGTAACATCATCATCAGCAGCATCAGCAGCAGCATCATCATCAGCAGCAGCAGCAGTAACATCATCATCATCAGGATCATCATCATCAGCAGCATAATCAGCAGCAGCATCATCATCATCAGCAGCAGCATCAGCAGCAGCATCATCATCAGCAGCAGCAGCATCATCAGCAGCAGCATCAGCAGCAGCAGCAGTAACATCATCATCATCAGGATCATCATCATCAGCAGCAGCATCAGCAGCAGCATCATCATCAGGATCATCAGCAGCATCATCATCAGTAGCATTATCATCAGCAGCATCACCATCAGGATCATCATCATCAGCAGCATCATCATCAAGATCATCATCAGCAGCATCATCAGCAGAGTGCTCGCTGGACCCCCGGGAGCTTTGTCCGGACAGTGCGACTTTTCGCTGCTTCCAGCAGCAGCATCATCAGCAGCATCATCAGCAGCAGCATCATCATCAGCAGCATCAGCAGCGCTGCCCACTACACGCGGGCTACATCATCGCAAAGCGCCGGGCTCGCTCCAGCTGCTTCTGCCCGGCTTACTGCTGTGTATCGGGACGCTCACTAAACCCCCTCCCCTCCCACTCCCTGCCTCAATTGAGTTCCAGCGACTCTCCCAGAGATGCTGCAAGTTCATCGGCGGAGCGAGTGAGCGAGAAACAAAAATACAAATATTACATTGAAAACAGGGGGAACATAGAGTAAGGAGAGAGGGGGTAAAAAGAAAGGGGGGGGGGGGTAGAGAGAAGGGGTAAAGAGAGGGGGGGGGGCTAGAGAGGGGTAGAGAGAGGGGGTAGAGAGAGAGGGGGGTAGAGAGAGGGGGTAGAGAGAGGGGGTAGAGAGAAGGGGTAAAGAGAGGGGGGGGGTAGAGAGAGGGGGTAGAGAGAGGGGGTAGAGAGAGGGGGTAGAGAGAAGGGGTAGAGAGAGAGGGGGGATAGAGAGAGGGGATAGAGAGAGGGGGGTAGAGAGAGAGGGGATAGAGAGAGGGGGTGGGGGAGAGAGGGAAGGGGTAAGAAGGAGAAGAGCAGAGCGTGAAATCTATCGTGAAATCTTTTATTTAAACAGGCGGGGGGGGGGGGGGCACATAAAGCAAAGCATTGGGGGAAAAAACACAAACCAACGAAATGATGAACGAAGCAAAGTGCCGACTACACCGAGCATCTTCTTGTTCCCTCTGAGCGTAAAACAAGAAGACAGCGAGCCAGCGACAGCAACACACACGGGAGAGAGAGCGAGGAGGAAGAGATCAAGAGAAGAGATCACAAGAACGAAGGCAGACACAGCGGAAGAAGAGGAGGAGGTACAGGAAGAATCGAGGCGTCCGCAGAACTGGAAGGGGATGCGAACCGTCGCGGCCTAGGTTCGCGGAGGGCGTGGGGATGGCGATCGGAGAGCGAGACACTTGGAGGCGGATGCTGCCGCTGCTGATGATGCTGTTGCTGGATTGCGTGCAGGTAAGGTCCCACCACCCCCAATCTCACTTACAAGTCATCACGCACCACCATCATCATCAGCAGCAGCGGCAGCGGCCAAGGTCTCTCTACTGCTGGTTTAAGTGCTCCCATCGTCAGCATCACCTCGTCATCATCAGCGGCCAGGGTCAATCTAATACAAGTCATCACGCCCCATCGCTATCATCGTTATTATCATCAGCGGCAGCCAAGGTCTATACACTGCTAGATAAAGTCCTCCCATCATCATCATCAGCACGTCATCATCAGCAGTCAGGGTCAATCTAATACAAGCCATCACGCCCCATCGCTATCATCGTTATTATCATCAGCGGCAGCCAAGGTCTATACACTGCTAGATAAAGTCCTCCCATCATCATCATCAGCACGTCATCATCAGCAGTCAGGGTCAATCTAATACAAGCCATCACGCCCCATCGCTATCATCGTTATTATCATCAGCGGCAGCCAAGGTCTATACACTGCTAGATAAAGTCCTCCCATCATCATCAGCACATCATCATCAGCAGCCAGGGCACAATCCAATACTGAAATGGAGTATCTCGTGACCATCTCCATATTCGTAATTTGTTATAAGTTAAGGTCGATCCACCGCTGGATCAAGGCCCCGCAATTGCTAGCGACGATTCACGAACCGCACGCGATCCTACTACGGTGGCTTTGACTCCAACCGGCGCTTTGAGATGCTATGAAAGGCACCGAATAATGTCAGAGGTTGTTGTTGTTGTTTTAGTTGTTGTTGTGAACGCCCGCCCGCCTACACACGCAGATTGCATCGCTTTGAGATGCTTCATTCGGAAAAGGCACTTCATAATATAAGAGCTTATTATTTTTGTTGTGATTGTTGTTGTTGTTGTGAACTAGCCCACGCCTGCACACGCAGATTGCATCGCTTTGAGATGCCTCATTGAGAAAGGCCCTTTATTATAGAATGATTTATTATTGTTGTGATTGTTGTTGTTGTGAACTAGCCCACGCCTGCACACGCAGACAGATTCCATCGCTCCATCTCCCACACACCCTGGGTGGTCACTGCTCCGACTCGTTCCGTGCCCCCCCCCTCCCCCCGTCTTGCTGCTCCGCTATCAGTCCCGACCATCATCACCACCATCACCACCACCACCATAATCATCATCGTCCTCATCATCGATCACTCGAGGTCGTCCGCGAGATCTCATTCTCCCTCCCGGCGGAACCTTTCTATTGATTGTTCGTTCGTTTGTTCCCCGCCTGCTCCCCCACCCCTCCCCCGCCTGCCCACCTCTCCCCCTCCGTTCAAGAGGACCCTGGCGGTCCCTCTGACAGAGATGGGCTCCAGGTGGTCCTCTGGCACGGAGGCCGCGACGATGTTGCCACGTGGCTTGCAGCTTTCCACCTCGCGCCTTCGCAATGCGCCGCGGCTTTTAGGGTCGCCCTCCCGCCCGCGCCGCCGTTAAGGCATCTCTGCTCGGGTCACCTCTCACCCCCTCCCCCCCATGAACTTAGCGTCATGGGGTGAACCCCACAGGGATCTTGAACCCCACCGGGAGTTTGAACCCTACCGCGAGTTTGAACTCTACCTGGAGCTTGAACCCCACCCCCTCTCACCCCCCCCCTGCCCCCCACCCCCTAGTGGACAAATCTACGAGTTGCCCCCCCCCCCCAATGATGAAATAAGCATTGATCAAAAAAAGTTAAAATAGAAAAAAAAACTAATTATTTAAAACGATTCGTGCCGGCCCAGCTTGACATTGTTTTTAATGGAAATGCGTTCACAAGGAACTCCCGTTTCTGGCGTATTTCTTGTCACGAGATACTCGTCAATGAGATTGCAAAAAAGGGTAACTACTACTCCGCAGGGAGTGGCAGTGGGCTGCCTTTGTCGGAGACGGAGCGCCACCTACAGCGTTAAATGTTCGAAACCGTGAGCGTTTCCTGGATTTTTCTGTTTGCGCTTAGTCACTTTAAGATGTTTTCTAGTTCATATTTTTGTTTTTTTGTTCGTTGCGGTTGCACCCGAATCAAGAGCCGAGTGAAACTGAAAACTGTTACGACGGTGTGGATGAGACCAAGAGGAGCCCCGATAGAGAATAGTTACTACACCACTGATAATGTAGTTACTACACCACTGATAATGTAGTTACTACACCACTGATAATGTAGTAACTACACCACTTTTAATGTAGTTACTACACCACTGATAATGTAGTAACTACACCACTGAGAATGTAGCTACTACACCACTGACAATGTAGTTACTACGCCACTTTTAATGTAGTTACTACACCACTGATAATGTAGTCACTACACCACTGATAATGTAGTTACTACACCACTGATAATGTAGTAACTACACCACTGAGAATGTAGCTACTACACCACTGACAATGTAGTTACTACGCCACTTTTAATGTAGTTACTACACCACTGATAATGTAGTCACTACACCACTGATAATGTAGTTACTACACCACTGATAATGTAGTAACTACACCACTGATAATGTAGCTACTACACCACTGATAATGTAGTAACTACACCACTGAGAATGTAGCTACTACACCACTGAAAATGTAGTCACTACACCACTGATAATGTAGTTACTACACCACTGATGATGTAGTTACTACACCACTGATAATGTAGTTACTACACCACTGATAATGTAGTTACTACACCACTGATGATGTAGTTGCTACACCACTGATAATGTAGTTACTACACCACTGATAATGTAGTTACTACGCCACTGATAATGTAGTCACTACACCACTGATGATGTGGTTACTACGCCACTGATAATGTAGTTACTACACCACTAATAATGTAGTTACTACGCCACTGATAATGTAGTCACTACGCCACTGATAATGTAGTTACTACACCACTGAAAATGTAGCCATTATGCCACTGATAATGTAGTTACTACACCACTGATGATGTAGTTACTACGCCAATGATAATGTAGTTACTACACCACTGATAATGTAGTTACTACACCACTGATAATGTAGTTACTACGCCACTGATAATGTAGTCACTACACCACTGATATTGTAGTTACTACACCACTGATACTCTAGTTACTACTCCACTGATAATGTAGTTAATACGCCACTGTTTCTACGGCCAAACACACGTGGTTAAAGCAAGTGGATTGAACGATGCCCTCTGCGGAGCCTCCACAAACAACAGCCACTCACTCCGGCTGGCCACGTGCAATGCCCGAACGCTCGCCGGGGGAGGAGAGGCTGCCATTCCTCTGTCGGGAACTGGACCTCCACGGCCTGGACCAATGTCCAGTGGACTGTCTCAGGCTCCAGCCACCATGAGGGATGGAACAGTGCTCTCCAATCGGGACCTTGTTACATGGCGGTGATGTGCGGGAGGCAGGGCTCTCACGTGGCATTGTGGAGACCACCTCTTCATCAGCGCGAGGCGAGGAACGGCGGCAGCGGTGCTTTCAAAATTCAAGTGGCTGCCTACGCGCCCACCGAAGATGAACATCAGTGGATAATGCAGGCGAGGCTTGTGAGTCAGACGACTTCTGTGGCTCGCGGTTCTTAATAATGCCTATGAAGTGGCCTCTCAAGATAGAGCCGTCTCATTGATTGAAATCAATGGCCGAGTGGGTCATGACGCAGGTACTTTGGCGGGAGTGAATGCAAGGCATGGGGCCACATCGGCTCTCAACGGCAAAAGGAGTCTGCCAGACTTCTGCGCAGCCCATGGGCTTGTAATCACCAACATGCTGTTCCGGCATCGGCGTGCATCCACGCAACATCACGGATGCACGCCGGGCCCAAGGAGAAACATCTGCTGGATCAGGGAGTGAGTGAAGAGTGCACGTGGTCTCATCTCTTTGGCACGAGAACCTTCCGTGCAACTGATCTTCTGCCCACTGAACCCATGGGCTTGCCATCTGTCTGCAAGATGAGCCGAAAGTGCTTCCACTGCAGGTGGAGGGGCGTCCACCCCAGGGACCTCATCCAAGGTCACGACCAATCGGTTTCGGCCAGCTGATGAAACTACCCAGAGTGAAACCATAGCTGAAGCCATAGAATTTGCAGCCAATAGTTCGTCCGTTCGTTCGCTTCTCAGTCCGCGTATCCTGGTGAGGGTCGCGGCAGCAGCAGCATGTTGAGTGGTGGCGGTCCACACCTCCTAGTGACAGACTCCAGCACCACTACACTATTCACTACTATACACTATACACTAAACACTACTATACACTACACTATACACTACTTTACTTATATACACAACACTAATATACACTACTACACTCATATACACTACTATACACTATACACTACTATACACTACACTATACACTACTACACTCATATACACTACTACACTCATATACACTACTATACACTACTATACACTACTATACACTACTATACACTACTACACTCATATACACTACTATACACTATACACTACTATACACTACACTATACACTACTACACTTATATGCACAACACTAATATACACTACTACACTCATATACACTACTATACACTATACACTAATATACACTACACTATACACTACTACACTCATATACACTACTACACTCATATACACTATACACTACTATACACTACTATACACTACTACACTCATATACACTACTATACACTATACACTACTATACACTACTACACTCATATACACTACTATACACTATACACTACTATACACTATGACACTATACACTACTACACTCATATACGCTATACACTACTATACGCTATACACCACTACACTATACACTACTTTACACTACTACACTAATATACACTACTACACTAATATACATTACTATACACTATTCACTACTATACACTACTACACTCATATACACTACTATACACTATACACTACTATACGCTATACACCACTACACTATACACTACTATACACTACTACACTAATATACACTACTACACTCATATACACTACTACACGATACACTATTACATTACTGTATACT